ATGACAGTCAGTGTAGGATTAGTGGGAGACTCCATCCATACCAGCTGTAAATAGAATGAGTAATTTGGTGATTCTATACACGTGTCCATATTATAAGTATATGTACATGTACATTAATGATTGGTGGGTTTAATACTGAGGATTAATTTTGATCAGAAATTCCCTTAATAGCTCTGTGAAATAAAAATGGTATTATGGTATAGCATAAAAAGGAAATAATATAGTCAAAACAATTCTAAAAGAAGCCATTGTTCATTGTTTCTTTGGTTTCTATACAGCACTATACACAATATCCTTACAACACTTTAATGGAACAATCAGTGGGTTAGAGCCAGGTCTAACTCTACAACAGTTGTATGTTAACCACAAAATCCATACAACATCTACAACTGTATGGAACTAGTCTCTCTCTCTCTCTCTCACCTTAGTATTATCCTTAATAGCATTCAGTACATTGCTAGTATCAGTAGCATCAACCAGTGTGACACTGATATTGAAGTTACTGGCTATTTTCCTAAAGAACCTGTTCACTCCTCCATACACATCATTAACTGATACAATGTGGTCTCCTGATTTTAGTAAAGCCTGCATCACTGTTGATACTGCTGACATACCAGAACTGAATGTGTGAGCTATAGAGAAGAGGAGAGAGGGAGGGGAGAGAGAGAAAAATTTTAATCATTTAGAGGACAATTATGGAGAGAAAGAATAAAAATGTGATAAAAGATAAAATAATAAAGAGAAATGATGTTTTATGAAAAATACTTGGAAGACATTAATAGTTTTTAATGAGGACAAAACTTTATAAGTTGCTAAAGTAAAACTTTGCAAATTAAAATGAATTAATACGCATGATTTGTAATTATACGGTGTATAAGTTATTCATACCATATTGTGCTCCTTCACAAGCTGCCAGTGACTTCTCTAATGCAGTTCTAGTTGGATTACCATCCCTAATGTAATCATGCATAGGCTGGAGAGAGAGAGAAAGAGAAGGTGGCATACATTGTTAATTAGTTACTCATCAGTTTCTCTTCTTACTGGTTTTCCTGGTTCATCTTGTTTATAAGTGGTGCAGGTGAATATTGGCGGTACTATTGCTTTACAGTTCCATTGTTCTGGGTCCTGTCCAACGTGTATAGCATTGGTACCAAAATGTGGCCAAGTAGACATTATTAATTTTGTGTAGGTCTAGAATCTAGATCTGAATCTGATCTAATTAGTAGTGGTGGGCGATATATCGATATTTTATCGATACAAACGATATTTTACGGTATCGAATCGTATCGGTATCGAAATTTCAAAGGAATCCGGATCGATACGTTGACCACGCCCATTTATTAAGGTTAAATAATATAAATAACGAAAATTTAATAAGTTAATGACGCATAATCCACACACGTGGATACACGTGCGTGAAAACATTGATGAAAACAGTCAATAACAAGGGGTGTGACTCCATAGGTGTGGTCTAAATATCGTATCGAAACTGTATCGATACTCCCGATATGAGCTGATATCGATCGGTATCGTATCGAATCCATTTTGGCCAGTATCGCCCACCACTACTAATTAGGGCAATAGGGCGTGGCTGTGGTCGTGGTTCTATGGTCTCAAATATCTATGGTTCAAGATCGTTCAAGATGGATTACCTTTCTGGTGGGTATGATGTCCAGTTTGCCGAGAGGCACAGAGAACTCGCTGAGAAGTACACGTGCGTCATTTGCCGAATGGTACCCAAAGATGTACACCAGTTCACATGCTGTGGAAAACTCGTCTGCTATAGCTGCATAGAGAACTACAAAAGAGAGTCACCTCACAACTGTCCTGTCTGTCGTAAGCACGGATTCAAGTATTTCAATGACACTAGTCTTAATCAAGAAATCCTGAGTCTAAAGGTCTTTTGCTACTACAAAGAGTTGGGTTGTCAATGGACTGGAGAACTGAGGAGCCTGACTAGAGAGCATGCACATACATGTGTGTATAAGCTAGTGTTGTGTGAGCAGTGTGGTCAAAGAGTACCTGAAAAGAATCTTGGGGATCATCTCGCCAGTGCCTGTGTTAAACGTATGTTTTGGTGCCAATATTGCAAAGAGTCCGGCTCCTTTGAATTCATACAAGATACTCACATCAATGAATGTCCAGAACGCCCGATCGAATGTCCCAATTATGGCTGCCAAATTATATTTAAAAGGAAGGAGATTGAAGCTCACCGTAATGTCTGCATGCATCAACTTGTTCATTGCTGCTACCACCCGATCGGTTGTAAAATAATGGTGAAGCGCATGCTTAAAGCAAGACATGAAGCAAACTGTCGATTTCGGAATGACATGAAGGGGCTTTCACACAAGAAGGACAAAGAGGATGATGATACTGGTGAACTAGCAGATAAACTGTTAGAAAAACGTGGTTCATACATTTATGTTGATGCAATTGATTATGGTAAGAAATTAGTGATAATAACTCTTTGGTGTTTTAAGGTCTTTTCACACTGTCAGAAGTAATGCGCATTGATGCATATTAATCATGTTCACACTAGTCTAGAGTGCTTGCAAATTAATGTGCATCACTCTCACTTTACCTCCAGAGGTGAACAAGATCAATGCACATTATTTCAGCTGTATCAACAAAGCACTTTAAAAACTGTGCCAGTGTGAAATGTACCGTATAGCGGAAAATTTTGGAGGGAGTAAAATTTGGCGAATTGCTAAATTTTGGTTGTTGGCGGATTTTAATTTGGCGAATTAGTGGCCACGTGCCATTGAGCATGCGTATAAAAGCTCAAAATGGCGGATTTTATTTTGGCAAATGGCTATCAAAACGCCAAATTCGCCAAATTTAATTCCCTCCAAAATTTCCCGCTATACGGTACTGATTTAATTAAAATAAATGCTGCATTAGTAATGATGTATGACACTCTAAGTTGAAAATTAAAATTTGGCAGAGCAAATTTTGTTGAATTAATTACAACAACCTTTTCTATATACATGTAGATGCTGTATCTAAATGGTTACAAGAAGGCACTGTAAATCTAACCGTTAAACGTGTTCAAATGCTTGGTCCTCCTGGCTCTGGTAAAACATGTTCCCAACGTCTCCTACTTAATGAAGATCCACCCGAAGAAGCTGTCACTGACAGTACACCAATTACTTGTCGCGCTGTCAAAGCTACAAGAATATCAGTTGCTGATGGACGTATGGAAAGAGTCGATGTGAAGGCTCTTCTTTCAAGATTGGCATGTGATTTAAAGGAAGCTGCAGCAAAGCAAGAGGAAACGCCAATGGCAAAACATGACACAAGGCCAAAGGAGAAGTCTTCAGAAGTCATTTCTATTTCTATGCCTATTGAGGCTAAAACACCAGAATCAGCAAATGCAGCAGACAATCACGATCCTCATTCAACTAAAATATGTAATGAAATTTTGAGAGCCATTCCAGAAGCAAAAGCTAAATTAGATCGTCACCTGGTATACATTATTGATTCTGGTGGCCAGACAGCATTTCAAGAGCTATTGCCTTTGTTTACTAGACCTGCTTCACTCAATATCATCACACTAGACCTTTCTAAAGGTCTTGATGAGAAGCTTGATCTTCGATATCGAATTGATGGAACACCATTTCCCTGTGATCCAACATTTTCATATACAAATATTGAATTTATAAAGGATGTGCTGTCTTCTGGAGCTATTTTACAACCACTTGACACACCGCAGTCAAAAAAAGCACTCCAGTACCCAGGATATTTCATTCTGGGTACACACAGTGATGATGCTAAAGCAACACCGCAAAATATTAAGAAGTATAACGAGGAGCTGTCATCATTAAAATCTGGGTCTAAAGACAAAGGCTATTATATCATTTCTGCTAAACTTGGAGATACTAATGAAATCATATATCCAGTTAATACAATGCTCAAATCTGGTCCTGAAAGACAAGTGGAAGCCAAAAATCTTTGTGAAACAATATATGATGATGTCTCTGGCGATGTATTCAAGATTCCAGTTCGATGGTTTGCTTTTGAGCTGACTTTGCTGGAGAAGGCTGAAGGTCACAGTTTCCTTCAGTTAGATGATGTCTTATTTGCTGGTAAAAGTCTTCAAATGGATGAAGCTGATACAAGGCTGGCTCTACAGTATCTTCACAATGTTACTATTATTCTTTATTATCCTCAAGTGTTACCTGATATAGTGTTTGTTGATCCTCATCCTATTCTTAATATCCTCTCACGTCTTTTAGCTCTTACTTATAAAATCGATCGAAGGTTTTTGCGACACCTTACAAAGGAAACACCTTCACAGTCTGAATTGGATAACCTAAGTAAGAAGGGCATATTCACCAAATCACTGCTGGATAAGTTAAAAGATGACCAGGGATTTCCTAAGTCTGATTTTATCAAGCTATTGCTTCACCTACACATCATTGTTGAGATGGATGGTGGTTATTTCATTCCTTCTGCATTGCCTCCTTGTGGATCTACTGGTCCACCTCCAGACTCAGATTTTATCGACTCGTTACTAGTAGTCTGGTGCAATCCTGTCACTAAAGAAATTTTACCTGTTCCCCGTGGAATTTTCTCTTTGGCAATTATCAATTTAATGACATTCAAGCAACCACAGTTTCGTTTCCCTCCATCAGCAGTTCCTCGAACACATAGAAAATATTTCAGACATCGGGATGCCATGTCTTTTCGTGTTTATGTTCACAATGAACTTGTTGGCACCATTCATTTCATTAAGAAGCACCGACATATTGAAATTTACTTTGAATCCAATGAAGTAAAATATTGTCCACTTATTTGCAAAGCAGTAACAGAAGCAATTAATAGAAGTAGTGTTGCCATTAACTTGAAACCTGATGGTCATGAGTTCACCTTTGATTGCTCTACAGAAGACTCCTACTGTATTGTCAAAAAAGAAGATGAAAAGAAAGCTGAATGCACTTTATGCACAAAACCACCTCTTATCAGTGGGCAAGAGAAGCGCTGGAGTTGGTTTCATATCACTTATCAAACCTTAACTGAAGGTAATTATTTTCCTTATTCTCTTCACAAGTTTGCTATTAATTTTATTGTGGCTTGTGTAACTTTTGTCTATCTTTTTTATTATGTAGCTTCAAAGACACTTGACATCACTCACCTTCAAAAAGTATTGAATTTACTCAGGGAAGGTCATTTTAATGGTGATTGGGAGGGACTTGGTCTAGAGTTAGGCCTCTATCAACATCCAACACTCTCAAACATACAGTACAGTTACACCAGAGGTGCTGCTCTTAGAGAATGCCTTGCTACTTGGTTGCTAAAAGCTGATGCTGTGGACGAAAATGGCGGAGTAACCTATGTCTCACTTGCTAATGCTGTTGAAAGATTAAGTCAAAAATCTGTAGCTGATTATATACGCAGTGAGTTGTGTGTAATTGTTTTTATAATTATTAATTTTTTATTGTAGGAAAATGTGGAATTGATTGTTCACAGGAAGAAATCATTGGTATGTGTTATTAATATTATACTAATAATAAGTTGGTGTTCAATTATAGAGTCCAATGACATCCCACAAAGCAAGCCAGTGCCAGCACAAGACAGCTACCATATTGCAGAGGAAGAAGAAAAAGAGAAACAAATAGCAGAAAAAAGCAGAAGTAATATAGATGTATCAGTATGTTTTATAATGCTTATCAACAATTATTATAGCAGGTAGCTCGTGTCCATGGACTATTTTGTTAGGTGTCGTGGTTTTTATGTTTATATGTGTTGCACTTTTTGCTATTGTGGGCATAACAGCTTATATGAGGATTATTAATGATGAAGGCCAAGCTATTTTTGATAGTAAGTCCAAAATTGTCAAACTATGCATTTACTACTCAGATTTGCTTTTTTGAATTTCACACAAAATTATTAAGCTGGTAACACCTTTATTTCTTACAATGTAGAAGGCAACAATGGTTGGACAGAACTAGAAATCACTGATTTAAAAGAAATACTAGGCCTATTACATGACGGTCACTTTCCTGATCATCGCTGGCTTGATCTTGGTATTAGACTGAAAATATTACACACTACATTAACAACAATTGAGGCTGATACAAACAGTGCTCATAGAAGACTACTAGAGATGCTATCATTGTGGTTGAGAAGAGGAAAAGCGACATGGAGCGAGTTGGGTACTGCTCTAAGTGAAATGGAAGAATACAAATCAGCAGGTAATTACTACATGTATAATGTACATCACATATGATTATGGTATTTGGTTTAATGGTATTTGCAGAATTAGTGAAGACCAGAGTTGCAAAGAAAAAGCATGAACTTTAAACTTTGGTCTATTCCTTTTATTTTAGTTTGTATTTAAATGATCTGTGTGTTTTATCTTTTCTAATTTGTGTAGTAGGAATCATTTAAACAATGAAGTTATAATCATTAATAAATAAATTTAAAATTTTGACACACAAAATAAATAAATTAGAAAATGTTCCTACAGAGAGGACAACTGCTCTTGTTACTAGTACTGAACCATTTATACTGAAAGGAAAATAATAAAATAAATAATAACTGAACAAATGAGTGTAATATCTATTCACTGTATCAACACTCAATAAAATACATGTACATGTACTACCTTACCAGACATGATGAATGGAATCTCTTCTTGCAAGTTCTACATATCATTTTAGGTAGTGAATAATTAGATCCATGAATGATACTAAAGCATATCATGCAGTCATCCAAACCAGCAAAATGTTTATCAAGATTACTCTTCCATAATAATAATCCTTCCAATATAGAACCATTCTAATGAAGGAGAGAGAATGAGATACGTAATACATATCTACAAGGCTATCGTGGGTTGGACTATAATGATATTCATTGAGGCTTGTAACACGTTGGAATGAATTACATGTGGCTCATAGCATATACACATGTATCTATTAAAATGTTATAAAAATTGGGAGTGACTTATTTGAAAAACCATGGGTATAGGAATTTTTTCAGAATATGAACAGCTTGCTTATAACTTTAAAAATTTAAGTTGGAATCAGCTCAAACTTGCTACACAGCATAAGTACATCAATATGTATCAGAAAATTTAATAAAAATTGGGGGTGATTTTTGAGTCATTTTTTTGGAAAAAAACCATGGGCTATATATAGTACGGGGATTTTTTCAGATTTTGGCCAATTTTTAAAAATGGCTGTAACTTTAAAAATTTAAGTCTTAATAATCAATATAATCAGTATAACTCAATAATCTTCAGTATAACTTAGTGTAATTTTTAGTATATTACTATGCATACTTTTAAAGGTAACTCTGGCATAGGTGGTGGAGTAACTGGCCTGTCCCACTCTAATTTTCCGCCTAGTTCCTTTACTTGATTCTGCAACTGTACGACCTATGCATAACTCAGTAAAACTCAGTGTACTCTAGTATATTATTGGTATATTCTAGTAATCTCACCTGTATCTGCAGTGCTCTGTTATGCTCATTGAAGACAGTCACTAGTTGGGTTTGTGTTTCTAGTTTGACTTTTGTTTCTTCTCTCACTTCGTCTGCTCTCATTTCCTCGTGTACTTGTCTCTTTTGTCGATTCACTTCAATCTCAACCTCAGCAAGTTCCTTCTTTAATAGATTATTAGTCTAGGGATAAGGAAACATGATAAAGGGACAATTTAAAATGGTCATAACTTGAAAAATATAAATCGAAATCAGCTCAAACATTCTACATAGCATAAGGACATCAATATGTATCAGAAAATGTAATAAAAATTGGGGGTGATTTTTTAGCCATTTTTTCGAAAAAACCATGGGCTATATATAGCCTTGGGTATTTTTCAAAATTTTGGCATTTTCTTAATGGCCATAACTTGAAAAATTGAAGTTGGAGTCAGCTCAAACTTGCTACACAGCACAAGGACATCAATATGTATCAGAAAATGTAATAAAAATTGGGGGTGATTTTGGAGCCATTTTTTGGAAAAAACCATGGGCTATTATAATAGTACAGGGATTTTTTCCAATTTTTTGCATTTTTAAAAAATGGCTGTAACTCGAAAAATTGAAGTCGGAATCAGCTCAAACTTTCTACACAGCATAAGTGCATCAATATATATCAAAAAATGTAATAAAAATTGGGAGTGATTTTTGAGTCATTTTTTTGGAAAAAACCATGGGCTATAGTACAGGGATTTTTTCTGATTTTGGCCGATTTTTTTAAAATGGCCATAACTAGAAAAATTTTGCTTACCTAATTGTAGGAATTTCAATTTTTCATGAATCTCCTTATCATTGCCCATCAACACATCACAGTATCCTGTAGGATCAAATTTGAAACCAACTATCAGTCAAAATTGAACGGGTTACCATTCAAATATTTAGTCATTGAATGAAGGACCAAGTCAGCCCCCAATGACAAAGGACGCTATAAAAAATAAAAATAAATAAAATAAAAATAAATTTATAAAATTACTTGAAAATACGGAGTCAAGAATGTATTATCAACCACGACAGTGCATCTCTAAAGGGGCGGGGTCAATTTAATCTAATTAGTTTTTGTGGGCGGTATCTTCTTGTGTGCAATCTCAGAAACAGCTGCAATGTCAATGACAGTCAGTGTAGGATTAGTGGGAGACTCCATCCATACCAGCTGTAGAAATAGAATGAGTTATTTGGTGATTCTATACACGTGTACATATTATAAGTATATGTACATGTACATTAATGATTGGTGGGTTTAATACTGAGGA